TAATATTTTCAATAGTAAAGTTAGTCAATCATCCTGTATAAGTAACACTATGTTAAGTTGATAAAAATGAATCATTAAAAAAGAAACGTTACCATTTTCTTTTACTTGCAACAAAAATTTTTCCATTTAGTTAATTAAATTACTAAAAGGTCTTCATTTTACAAAAATAAACTATTTAAAAAAAATAAGTGATACTTATATAAGTGATGTCGAGACTTATTTTACAAAAACTCTTTATTGACAAATTAAACATTATTTTTCATTATTGCATTTTTTTTGATAATTTTATCATGATTATCTATTATATAGAAACATTTATCGACTATACAATAATTAAATTATTTCAAATGATTGTGTGCTTCACAAAAGCTATCGTTAAAACAGGTCTAAATAAAATTGAAAGTTAAATAAAAGAATAATTTGGTTTATTCTTATTAGAAATATCCATTATTAAATACTTTTCCAACTATTAATCAATTTACTATAATAAATATTAGTCAATTGTGGCTAATATTATTTATAATATTAATTTAAAACTAAAAATTATTAAACACAAAAATTATTTAAAAATTATCTTCTTAGTTCAACTGTATTTGACTGGTATTAAACTAACTTAATTGTATTTAATTGTAATTAAAATAAATTAATTTTTATTGTAATTAAAACAAAAATTAAAGTAATAGAAAGTAAAATACTTGTTGAATAAAATTTATTAATACTTACATCCCCTAAAAACTTTCATTTGTCCATTTCCTCCTCTCCTTCCTCCACCACGTCCACCACGTACTCTTCTATATCCACCGCGTCCACCACTTCCACCACCGCCATCAATCATAATCCCCCCCCGTGCAAAATTGTTTAAGTATATTTTCATCTAAAATACAAGCATTCTTATTAATTTGATAGATAAAAATAGACATAAATTTCTATGAAAGCCAGTTAAATTATTGTGATAAATAAAGCTTAGTTTTCACTATATTTCTTTAGTTGTTTTACTTACAGATGTGTTTTTACGAATATATATATATTATTGTATGATTTATGAGATTTGTAATTTTTATATTGATTAAATGTATAAATGTATAAAAAAATATATGCTACATATTTTTTGAAGATGTAGTAATTATATTTTTTTATAATAGACGAGTTATCCTTTGTATTTAAACACATTTTATTACATTATTATTAATAATACCAATAAAAAAAATTGTTGGTAAAATAAAAAATTTGCCTTTATAAATAAGCTAGAAAAGCCTATTTTAAAGAAAAATCTTAATTTGTAAAAGCAGCAGTGTATTTTTAAAATATTCTCACTTGGCGACTAAAATGTCTTTTTCATTCAGTATTTTTTTTATTCATGTGTGATTCCCCCTTAGTATAGAAAAGGTCAAAAATAAAATTGTAATAAAATAAAAGAGTGATTTTTTTATCATAACCCACTCAATTACTTACAGAATAATAATAATTAAAAAATTTTTTTTATTACTATCTTTAGTTACACTTTATTCTTGAATTATTAACTATGTAATACTATTCAAGTTCATCCCTTATGCCTGGTAAGGGTGTCAACTTAGTTTTTTTAAACGGTAACACATATTTTTAATTTAATAAAATGTTTGAGTTTTTAATTCAATAGTAAATGGCATTTGAATTTTTAATGAAACTTAATTTGTCTATTAGATATAAACATTTTAAGTTTCAAATTTTTGAGTTAATATATAGGTATAATACACTAGGGATTACAAATACAGGTACACAGCATTGTTATTATCAATGATAGTAAGGTACATTGTTGTGAGTTTATAAATACACTAACTGACAATACAAAAAGTATATCTATTGATAGTCACAATTGATAATAAACAATCCGTGACTGTGATAGCAATATCATAAAAAACCAATTAGCTACCTGTATTTGTAATCCCTTGTGTATTATACCTAAATATTAACTCAAAAATTTGAAACTTTAAATGTTTATATCTAATAAACAAATTAAGTTTCATTAAAAATTCAAATGCCATTTACTATTGAATTAAAAACTCAAACATTTTATTAAATTAAAAATATGTGTTATCATTTAAAAAAAACAAAGTTGACACCCTTACCAGGCAAAAGGGATGAACTTAGAAAGTATTACATAGTTAATAATTCAAGAATAATGTGTAACTAAAGATAATAATAAAAAAAAAATNTAGTTAATAAGTCAAGAATAATGTGTAACTAAAGATAGTAATAAAAAAAAAATTTTTAATTATTATTATTCTGTAAGTAATTGAGTGAGTTATGATAAAAAAATCACTCTGTATACTACACCGATGACATTGCCATACTCAATTTTTAAAATACTGCATTAATTATTTATACAATAATATAAAGAAATATTTTATTTTTCATTACAAAATTGAAAAATGAATGATAAAATCTGGATAGGATTCTTAGTATACGCGCAATTGTGCCTATGAGGAATATAGTCCAATGTCCAAAACCACGTAGGTTTATTTCTATAAATTTAAAAAAAATGTCATATTCTAAAAAAAAAATTAGTCTGGTTAGGTAATATTTTTAAGTTATTTGAATTTTTAAAATAATAAACATAAAAATTACCAAACAAAAGGAGTT